AAAAATCACTGACATAATATATTTTAATTTTAATTAAAATAAATTTTATCAAAAATCTTTTTTAAATGTAATTATATTTTTTGTAATGTAAGTATTTTTTTGTTATATTTGTTTAATTTTATAGATATAAATATTTTTTGTTTGAAAAAATATTTAAGGACTTAATTGTTCAAAATATGAATGTTCATTGGGGTTTTTTTCGGATTTTTTTTCATTATTTTATCACTTTAACTAGTTGTATAAGTCATAAGAATGTATCCAACAAGTTTTAGAAAAGTCAAAGAAGTTTTTGGATTGTTTAAAGACTTATTTGTTTTAAAAATTGTCTAATGATTTATTTAACATTTTTAAATTGTCTAAGAACTTATTTGTTTTAAAAAATTGTCCAAAAAGTTATTTAACATGTTTTATAATATCCAAAAACTTATTTGTTTCAAAAAATTATCCAATACCTTAATTTTTCCAAACACTAAAGTCTATTTTTCTTATTTTTTATTTTATTTTTATTTTTTTTGAGTTTTCCGTTTTTCATATTCTAAAATAGAAAAAATGTTTTAAGGAAGATAGGGGAGGAATAAGAGCCTCTCGAGAAGCTCTCAGGCGAAAAACGAGGGAACGAGATGGTGACGACCACCACCACCACCACCAGCACCACTACAGGCCCGTTTAGCACCAACCAGTTCAACTCAAGGATTATACGTCACAGTCTGCCGCAGCTAACATCGGAGAGAAAGTCGAGGACTTTTAGTTTGAGGTGCGCATTGTTCCCCCATGAAAGGCGGGAAAGCAGGCGGTTGGTCTCGATCTCCCTCGTCCTCTTCCATTGTGTCTCTATCTCTAGAGGTAAGCTCTATTTTTGTCTTCTGCTTTTAACCTGCGCACCGAAGTGCACATACGCCTAATCGTCTATGATCCATCAAGTAGCACGATAAATTATCTGAAATAAGAAAGGTTGATCATCAGGTGGCTTCTGAAAATTGACATTTTCAGTTCCGTATTCTTAGATTTTCTTAAAGTTGACTTGATGTTTTGAGTTGAGTGGTTTTGAGTTTGAATTTGGACGCAGATGCAATGGCAGGCAGCCCATTTGATAATTATGTGAAAAGGTAAATTCTGGACGATGATTTTAACATTCGTCAAATACCTTAACTCAATGGTGAATTATTTGTTTTTTTGGAACAAGAGAAATGCTTAATTAATTGAACTAATGGTTGTAATTATTCTGAATTGAATTGCAATTTACATAGTTGGCATAACACCTTCTCCCTCAATCATGAGTGTTTGATGTTTGAGCTATTGCAAACTTCAAATTCATCTCATTAAAAAGCAAACTTATCAAGTGTTTCATGTGGTTGTACAATACAATCCGAAGTGTTTGGGTTCTAACCCCCAAAAATAAGAAATTAATTTCGGGGTCTCTAGCCAAATGTAATGCTAATGCAAATTATGCAATGCATGATATTTGGGGATTTTGAAAATACCGTTTGAAATTGAGTCGGTGTGTTTGTTATTATTCATTTCCTTTTCTGAATTGTGTCAACTAGGAAAAAGCTTGAGCCATTGGAGGCTTATGTACCAGCTATTATCTTGACAGAGATGCAGATTACAGAATTGGGTAACCTTAGTTCCTCTACCTTCACCACTTTCGTACTTGAGTGATATTTCATCCATGGTTACACTTACAAGTAGAGAATATATTGACACTTTGATGGACCATACAGAATTGTCCTGACCATTCACCATATTGGTTTTTCATAGTAAAATTCAATTACTACCTCTGTCCCATTAAAGTGTATTTTTTTTTCCATTTTAGTCTTTCCATATGAATTGCAACATTTCTTTTTTCAGAAACCTTGCATGCTACAGTTACCCATTTTCCATTCTCCTCAATACAAACTATTATGGGTGTTGATCCTAGTCCATGATATTTCCCTTTTTTGTCACTCTGGAAGCGTATTTCGACAATTGATATACAATCAGATGCTTAAAATACGTAGGTTCAATTGTTGTGATTTTCATGATCCGGAGGAAGAAATTGTTTTGAGCAATCCTATATACTCCTTATATTTCCTGTTAAAGAACTTGTTTTGTCCTTTTCCTTTTTTTTTGGTCGTCTGGTGTACGAATTATTTTGAATCTAACATCATATGATGTATTTAATTGTCATGTTTGAATTGAATAATAAATACACAAACCAAAATTCTGTTGCTTTCTGTTGTTTGGGTGTACAAACTCTATCAGGATTGACCATCAGGTCACATACTAAATTACTTTTCACAATAACATAAATTTAAAAAAAGTACATCAATTTCTATTATTCAAGTGATTCACTTATACATGTCACGTGACAGTAGTCTTTCATGCACCTATGCTATGTTAAGATAATGTTGACCAATAACTACTTATCTTCTTAGTTTAATTTCCCATGTAAATGTTAAATGTTAGCATGATTTTGGATAATGTTGATTTTGAGTTGAGTGTTTTATATATGAAGCCTTCTTTTTGGATACTTGATAGGTAAAACACTGGAAGCTGACCAGCCTCAGTATGCTGCATGTCGGAGTCTGTTACGTGCTGGCCCAGCATCATCATTACGCATGAACATTCGAGCAGTAAGTCTACGCCTTTATGAATTTTCCTATTCATTTGGCCTTCTAGTTCTAAAGGACATGAAAGGATACAATAGCAAATGAATTAACATATGCTTGTTCTTAATGTGTGTGTTTCAACACAGACTTACCCTTAAGGATTAGATTGATCACTTTGTCCTGACAACACAGAATTCATAGAGGAAAAACCCTTGATGGGTATTGGCTACTGATTAAATTATATATACTTAAGGATACAGTAAGTTCGACAAATAAAGTTTATGGTTCAAAAATATTTTTGAACCTAAGAGATACAATTTATATGTACATAATCAAGGAGCTACAATTAGAAAACGATTGGAGATATGATTTCATACCACAAAAGATATGATATGAGCATAACCTTTCTGTTCAAATTGGTGCTCAGATGACACTCATGCACAACTTGGATGATTTGCTTACAAGATAAGTACTCCAAGCAAAAGACTCCATTTTCAACTTCTCTTCTGAGAACTGCTTATACCCCACCCCGAGGTAGGGTCGGCGGTATGATGTATGCAGACCTGATCTTGACCCCAAAAAGTAGAGCTCATGTTTACGTGAAGACCTCCCCTGTTTGTGAAAAGTGTGCGAAATAGAGAAAGGCATATAAGATAAATCTTGAAAAGCTAGTTTCACTTGTTTTATAGATATGTCCATTTCTAAAACCAAACCAAATGAACCACTAAGTTCCACTCCACCCCTGGTGATCCTGTTGTATTGAATCATGAACAATATCAATCATTAGGGTCAATTACTCTGAGCAATTTGCTACTAGTTCCATAGCCCTAAATTCAGCTTCAAAATTTCAAATTAGAGAGGGGAGGTTATTGTGGCTGAGGGTGTCCAATCTAGAGTAAAAACATTTTAGTTTCAATATATTCACGTTGAACTCTTGCAGATCTATTACCATCTCCTCTAGCTTCCTTTCTCATGTGAATCCATGATGACCTGTAAGCTATGAATCTTAGAACCACGAGATTTCAATCAAACAACCACGGAAAAATAACAACCTAATGGCTTGATAACAATCCAACGAGCAACCTTGACCCTTAGACTGTTGAATAAGCTTAAGAACCTTGGTATGAATTCTTGACCCTTAGTTATGGAAGAACTAAGAACCAGAGAATATGAAGAACTTCACAAACTTTGTTACAAGTTTGATATGTTCTATCAACACTAAAACTCCACAAGAGAGAGTAGCTCACAAATAAATTCAAGAATGAAATTCTTAATGATATCAAAATTCGTCCATAGTATATAGGACTCCTAAACTAGGGCTTTCCCATACAAAAGGAAACATTTAACGATGGAAACTTGAATACAAATGAAAGGAAACAACTCTAAGCATTGAAGGAAACTATAATATGGAATGTTTTTTCTATATCTTGCAAAATATACCTAATTTTAAGTAAATTTCGGAAGGAAGACAAGGAAGCAAGAATATTCATCAACTTGCAGCTTGAAATTGAGTCCATTGTTGCAATTAAAATAATATGTTGCTTCACTTGAAATTCTCTTTTTCCAAAATCACTTCTACACGTCTTCATCGATCATATCATTCCCTCCCTCTTCAAAAAGATGCATCCTGAATCTTTATCTGCAATAAATGCAAAAAGATTTTTCTTTGTATTCCACACTTTTTACTTTTTTTTGGCCGAAAGCTTTTTTTTGTTCGGCTATTTTTCTTATTTTTTCTTTCTTTTAAAGAACAAAGTAACACAAATGAATAACCAAACAAATAAAAATTTGAATTTCTCAAAGTGATCAAAACCCAATAATAGGAACCTCGTCACCTTGTGAATAGACCCACTATTAAATACTTGGAGTTTGATGCAAAGAAACTAAAAAAAAGACAATTAACTGAGAAGATGATTACTTGAGAGTTCAATAGTCACCAGTAAGAACCTTGCCAACTTGTGACAAAAACCATTACCAATATGTGATTCTTGATACCCAAGTTCTCAAGAATAAAAAAAAGAACGCTTATAATAATAAGATATGCAACCAATAACAGTGGCTCTTTTTTATTGCCAACAAAACTTATTTTAGAACTTCACTAATCCCAAAACTGAACTTTTTAAATTCCAAAAGTTTGAATTCTTTGTAACATCAAACAGACAAACCAAAAGAGGAAAAATAGAAGAGTAGATGAGAGAGATTATGATGAAAAGAATAAATCAAGATTTTACCTTGAGCTCTTATACCAAATGATGTGAATCCATGATGACCCGTAAGCTATGAAGTTTAGAACCACGAGATTTCATCGAACAAACACGGAAAAATAATAATGTAGTGACTTGATAACAATCCAACGAGCAACCTTGCCCCTTAAATTGAATAAGCTTAAGAACCTTGGTTTGAATTCTTGACCCTTAGTTATGGATGAACTAAGAACCAAAAAATATGAAGATCTCTACAAATTTTATTCACATATTGCAAGTAAAATTAGAGACCCCTCAAACTTCAATGGACATGTTTCTATTATGGGAGAGGAAGTGAGTGCAATTGATAATAGGAAATAAACGTACAAGCTAAATATATACCAACACACTAATTCTAACCAACCAACAACACTAACCACCACACTACTTTATGTGAATGAGAATGACTGTGTGTTTATATATGTGTTTTTTGTTTGTATGAAATGGATGAACAGGTAGCACAGTATGCAAACGAAGTTGGCAATGATAAAACTGCTTCCAATGATGTCGATCAATGTCTCAGGTACCACTTTCTCCTTAAAGTATAGTCATTTATGGTTCACCTGTACCATGAGAACTCTAACAACGCTAACGGATGTCTGCCTTGAAGAGCCTTGGAAGAACTTGATTCACTGTTACTACATGCATCAAGAAATCAGCCTGGAGCTTCAGTTAAATCAATGAAATCAAATATTGGTGTAGCTGTTAATGCATTAAACAGGTATGGTTTTGAAATATATGGACTTACAGATTATGCAACATCAGTTACTCTGTCCCTCCCAACATAAATGTCGACAGTGAAAAAGGAACACAATTTTAAATATTTGTAATCGTTACACTTTTTAATCAACCAAATGACAACTTTAAATGTGGACACTTAGGGGTTTGTTTACAGCCTCTTACTGGGTAAGAGATGGTCTTTACCAACAATTTTACTGTGCCAACAATCCTACCTGGTGAGGGTGCTGACTCTTGCTTGGTTAGCACTTTTCGGGTAAGGGACATTTATACTATGCTATTTTGGTGATCAGGTATCTTACCTTGTAACGTAAGTGAGAGTGGTGACTCTTACTTTGTTAGCGCTTATTGGGTAAGGGACATTAATACTATGTTATTTTGGTGACCAAGAATTTTACCCGATAAGTAAGGGCGGTGACTTTTACCCCCATTTTGTGCTGGTAAACAGTCCCTTATTTTGAGACAAACTAGAAATAGAAATATGGACACTGATTTCAGGACAGTGGAAATATTTTCCTTTTTTTGGAAACAAATATGCAAATCGCTCTTCTGTCATACAGCCTACTTCAGACAGTCCCCACCGATGTACTGGAAAAGTGCAAGGCTATAGCTGATGCATACAACGCTCCAGAAGAAGATTTTGCAGCGGAAAACTTGGATCCGAATTTGAAGCAGTTACAATCTATACTGTGATCAGGCAAGCTATATTCGGTATGTACAGTTCGTGATTACAGCCAGCCATAAGGATACCATATTGTTTTTTATATCTACTATTGCGATGAGGGTATCTGTATCTTCACACATGTTTTTTAATTACATAGTCAAAAAGATTTGTGGATGAATCACATGTTTAGATTTTCATAATCATATGAATTACATCTGTTCGTCCAACTCCGGCACTAACTTGCGTGGATAAGAAGATGAGAACAATAATAATTCGACATAAATGATGTAACTGATGTGTTTTATTAAAATACTAGAAGGGTACTCGTGCAATGTATCGATATACATATTGATTTCAGTGTTTCGTTTTATTTCTTTTTTATGTCAATATAATACGGTTGTATGTGGTTTTGAGAAAACGATAATGTTTTTATTTTATTTTTGAATAAAATATAAATTTGAAAATATCATAAAATCTTGAAAAAAATATATATCGATATCAGTATCAAATTAACTTTTTTAATAATTTTTATCTTTTGGTGTAATTTTCTTAATTCATTTTTTTAATTATAATTTAATTTAGGTTTAGTAACAAAAAATTTTAATTTAGGTTATAAAAATAATAACTAAGTATTCTGTTAGAAATCAATGATTATCTTAATTATATTTTAGATTTTTTATATTTAAAATGAGATGTTTATTCAATATTTGATTATGTTTATCTGCAATTAGTTACATGAATTCAAATATGGAGCTTTAATAAGTTGTACTTATTCACAAATTACTTGTAATCTTAAATTTTAAGTAATATGCATCAACAAACTGTACTTTGTGCATAAAATATAGCTTTTAAGAGTTTTGTCAAATGTTTTATAATATAGTATAGATAGAGTAAACTTCAATTTTGGTCCTTGAAGTTTAGTGAAAAGTCTAAAAGGGGGACTTGAACTTGAATTTTGGTAGGTCTAGAAAGAATCCTTGTGGTTTTCATTTTATCCTAAAAGTGGAACTTGGTCGTTGACTTTGTTTATTTTATTCGTTAGAGCAAGGGCATTTTAGTCTTTTCATTAAGATCTTTAATTTTCTTCTAAAAAGTAACATAATGTTTTATTTTATTATAAAATTTCTTTCTCAGTCTAATATTTGTTATTTTTTAAATGAAAACATAAAATAAAATTTTATGTTATTTTTTAAAGAGAAAATTAAAGAATTTGATAAAAAGACCAAAATGCCTTTCACTTTAACAGAGAAAATTAACAGAGTTAAGATTATGGACCACTTTCAGAGAAAAATGAAAACTACAAGGATAATTTCTAGACTTATCAAAGTTCAAGTCCCGCTTTCATACTTCCACTAAACCTTAAGGACCAAAATCAAAGTTTACTCTAGAATATAAGTAGGATATGGATAAATTTGTAAGGAAATGTTTGCAAATCTGAGACGTGGGGTAGATTTTTGCCATAAGAACCAAGATATTATCAAGAATGACAAAGAAAATGAAAACAATAAAATCAACAACAATTAGTTTTGTGTATGTTTTCTGGTCGAAACTCATTACCAAATGAAAACCCACAAGTTCCACCATTTGATTTGGTGGTTGTTCTCATATGTTCTTCAAAGGAAATATAATTTCCTAACGCTTAGGGGTGTAGCTTAGCTCGTTAAACCTTAAATTTGCTCCCTATTGATTATCAGTTCGAGTCTCTAGGTCATCGGGTGCCCTAGTCGTTAACTTTAGGGCTTTATCAGATCATTCGAGATGCATTATTACACATAAATTGGTCTGTACACTCATAACTGTAAAAAATAGTCTGAGAATTTTCATATTTGAAATGATACCACACCATTTTCATACTATTAGCTATTTCAATAATTTGTTTTTTATCTGTAAGGAGGACCACTCACCACTTATTGCCATCTGTGTAGTTGGTATTGGGTCATAACATCCGTTGGAGTTGCCTTCTTTCCGTTGGGGAATTTAGGGAATGGCTTGCCTGTGTGAATTGAATGGTAAAATCAAAGTGATAATTATGAGAGTTGTGTCCTTCTCTTGCGTAGGAGAGATCAGATGAACTACGCCGGAAGCTCGATAGTCACGATGAAGCTCTGAAATGATGTAGGAGGGCATGTTCGATTTAACAGAGGCAGTGGCAAAAAATGAAACCGAGAAACTGAGGAGGTAAATTCATATGTATTTGATTCTATTAAAGAGAAGTCACGTATGAAGGAAGATTGTAACACCCATGCAGGATAACGCGTCCTAAATACAAATGAGAGTAAAAGGTTTAATAAATTGCAACCTCCTAAAAATCATCACGATTCCAAATTAAGGGCAATGCGTATTGTACCCTCTTCAAATTCTACTAATTCACCTGCTATTACTTCATCAAGACCATGAATACGAGCAATGTCATCACCTACTTGAAGTACGGTACCGGTATTTACAATCTTTACTTCTCTATTATATTGCTCAATACGTTCACGGATAATAATACTAATTTCGTCGGCTTTAATGGTTACCATGAGAATTTCTTAATTCCTTTTTGAAAAACAAAATAAAAAAAATAATGCCTAAAGTACACGGACTAATCCGTTATTTCTTTCATCGCCCCCAATATGCCAATATTAGCACTAATGGTACATAAATGTAACTCGTTGTTTAAACAACTATTCAGAGTTCCTAGAGCTCCTTGTAAGGCTTGTTGGAAAACCCGTTGTCGGATTTGATTACTCGGGTCAGAACGTAAGCTAGTGATGCTTTCGGCTACTGGACTTTCGCCATCTAAGCATCTCATTGCTTTAGTTGAAAGATTCCATTTGAATATAAATTAGAAGAATTTATGGTTGGCTTAGTTGGACTACTACATTGAACCAAATCATTCTAGAAATAAATTACATGTTGGAGTTACTACAACCATCGAATATAGGAGTAGGAATGGTTGAGCACAATCGAACAGAGCTGTCAAGTTGTGAAATCCAGCAGGAATCGGGCAGGAGATGTGGACTCGAGCATTAATCAAACACGAGTTGTGGAGTGTGGACTTGAACAGGAGTCTGAGAAAATCCATGTGACTGTGGAATCAAATGGTTTAATCGATAAGAAAATTCGAGCTATTGAAGCATGTTGGACTTGGAATCTATGAGCAGAACTTTGGACTTGGAATTGGTAAAAAAGTTTGACCTACTTGTTATTTTTATTGATTTAGTTGGTTTTTTTTGTTTGCAAACCTAAATCTGACTCCCAATACCTCACACAAATGATACAATAAAAGCCTAAATAGAATTGTTTAAATTTTAAATTAAAAAAGTGTCCAAAACAACCCAAAAGAAAAATCACTAATTGCGACCGCTATTTGGGATCAAAATTACGATCATTAGCTGTAATAGCGACCGTTATTTGCGTTACCACCATATTACACCGCAATTTATGGACCACTATTTAGTCCAGGACTGCTGATCAAGATTTCACCACAATAGCGATGGTATTGCACCGCTATAGCATGCTATTAACTTCTTAGCAACGAGATACCCATTTCTCAAAAGTTATTAAAGTCAAATACATTAAGTGATGATAGGGTAGACGTGATTTTTTCATTGACAGAACACGAAAGTAAACCACATATCTATTTTCGTAAGCCCCACACTGGATTAGAGATGACCAAAATCCAGTCTTGGGCCGGGACGAAGCCGGTCTCGGGCCGCAACAGTGTCGGCCATAACTGACCCCGAACCTGCGAATATACTTAGGCCCGGTTAAGGTGCTTTGTAACCGGTTATGAGTAACTGATCCTGATCCTGGTCCCAATCCAAAAAAATGATTATTTTTTTTATTTTTTTAATGATAGATTTTTTTTAATACATTATAAAATTTGTAGTTGGATCACTCAAATACACTTTAAAATGCGTTTATTATAATTAAAATTGCATTCAAATATTCAATTATTTGAAAATACACTTATTTATTATCAATATCCCATGTCGGATTGATTTGAAGAGTTCCGATCTCTTGAATTCTTCTAATAGCCTCTTGGTCATCAAGGTCGTCAATGTCATCAATGTCGAATTCTTCATTATCGTCATAATGTGAGTAAGTGTCGCTAGTATCGATAGTTGGCGGCGTGCTTAGTTCCATGGTGATTTCATTTTCTTCCAAATTTTCTTCCACCGCTTCAATCTCTATATCTAACGATGTCGTGTGTTGAATTTTATCAACGCTATCCAAGTGATTCCTCAAATAGATGCAACACTCTACAGACTCCGGGCTTAGTTTTGTCCTACGTATCGAAATGATCATGCCACTAAGAGAAAAAGCAGACTACAAAGCTATGGTACTAGCTTAGATTGTTAGTATATCACGTGTTATGCATGCCAAAACCGGGAATTGAAGTTGCTTTTGTTTCCAAAAATTTAATAGATCAATTTTTTTTAAATCTTTGACATCATTTGTGGGGCATGCAACCACAATGTTAGCATGCACATACATATTTAGTTCACCCAAATTGTTATGAAATCTATTTACTTGATTCATTTAAAACCTCGTTCATTAAATTAGTCATCAACTTTTTCCGACTTTAGCCATGACCACTAGAAGAACTAGAACTCGTAAATCTACGACTTGAAGAGTTTTGTTGTTGGTTTCCTCCCCCATAAAAATGTTTATAATGATCAAATAAATCTTGAAAATTACGATTAAACAAACGTCTTTGTTCCGTTGAAAAAGAATTATTCGTAGTTGTATCTAAACCAAAGGCCACACATATTTGTGTAATTAAAACTTCAACACCGATAACATTTAAATACAGGTTTAACGTCGCAGCACAAAGAAAAGCAAATGGATGTTCATAAAATATTTTAACAATTTCTTTTTCATTGAACTCATCAATCTTCCTCTATCGTGATGTTCTTGATATTGTGCAATCTTACTTGCCAAAATATATAATTGATTTAAAAGTAAAAGATTTGTTGGATAATAAATATCGGGCAAAAGTGTTGTGACATGTTTAAAATCGCCTAAAATATCGTACAATTTTTCAACCACGGCCCAATCAAGATTCCCAATAGAATGTTGCGGGTAATGGTATTTTTAAAATGAAAAAAATATTTTTATGTTGGTCCCAGTGGATCTACAAGAGTTATAGGCAATCATTTTGTAGAAGGGGATTAGGAGAATAAATACAAACACAGAAACTTTCATTTTTAAAAATTATATATTGATAAAGAAAATCA